AGTGGGAACTGAAGGCGATCCCGGACAGCGCCTACAAGTCATGATTCGATGATTGGACAAGGAGGTGGCATATATGTATACCTTCAAAAGGAGCATATTTTAAAGCCAACAAAATAAATACTGTTGAATATCAAAAATTTTTCGTTTTATTTACGATTTCCGGAAGCATTCTGGTCACAATGCATTTTAGTAAAGAACTTGCTAGGTTGATTTACTCACTGACATTTGGCCGAATATATAAAAACAACCATTTAATAATTTGGATTGTCCAATTAGATTCATCCATTGACGAAATAATTCAAATAAACCAGTATAGACTTAGTTTGTAAGAGAGGTTAAGTTGGTATAAACCAAATGATCGAGGCAACGGCAAAGAGAATATTATTGTAATTCCAGTTTAGAAGAATTGCTTTAATTTCTTCAAAAATATATAATAATACAGTTAAGATGTCATTCGACTTGTCAGAAAGCTTTGCAAACTCATGGTAAACTAAATTAAGCCTAAAAAAATATCTACACCCAATTTTTTTGAGATAACTCAACCATTGATCGATATATCTGGTAGGAAAACATGTTCACTGAATTATACCCTGAGCAGGGTATGTTAAGTTTGGCACGATATTTGTAACATACAAAAGAAAACTTCGGAGACACTACAAAGTATATATATATATATATATGTATAAATTATCAGTGTGACGAGCTGAGTCGATTCAGCCATGCCCGTATGTATCTATATCCTTGTATTAAAAACTCTTTTATGTGGTCAGATCTCTTCACGAAATCTGGCGCAGATTATTATGCAAGGTATTGGTACAATTTCCGATGAAATTGCTCAGATCGGACAACTATAGCATATAGCTGCCATACAAATTGATCGAACAAACTCAAGTTCTTATATGGAAAACGTTTTTATTTGACAAGGTATCTTCTAGAAATTTGGCATAGACTATTATCTGAGGCAGTGCTACAATTTCCAAATATATTTTTCACATCGGTCCACTATATCATATAAATGTCATCAAAACTTACCAATAAAAATCAAGGTAAAGATATTTGTATACCCTTTTATACTAACAAAAGTGTTCCTGTTAAGGGTATTTATTCTTATATCTTTGATATAGACTGATATTTTGGGCAAAAAGTCAGCCATCGGCACAAAGGGTATCTGGGGGTTTGAAATTTTATGGTTCGATTTCAACAATTGTTAGACGATTGGTGGCACACCTGGAAGGGATTGTAGCGTGCAAGGTTCTATATGTTGCTCTAAAATTTTTATTTGTGCGTGATTTGTATAAATGTATGTTGGTTAATCAGATGAAATTTAAAATTGTTATATGGGAAGAAGGCACTGTAGTGACCTTAATAGGTGTTCGAAATTGGTTGAGTAGTTGCTGAGATATGTGATTTAAAGTAAAAGTGGGCAGAGACACGGCCAGTTTTGTTTTTAAATCCAACTCTAGGATAGTGTTTGGTGCCTGTTCACCTACAACCCAGACTACTAGCTAGTTTTCAATCATGATTCCACATACATATTTACTACATTTGATATATTTCCAAAATATTTCAGAAGAAAAGAACAGTTGCAATTCACAAGGCTCGTTGGCCATTGGTGTAATTAAATAAAATAAATATTCAGTTCAGTTATTACATAATTATATGAATAACAAATGAGCATAATGCTGCCATGAAGCTTCCTTCATGTAGATGAAGATTGAGTAAATGTGCTGCATAAATGGCAAGCCGACGCATGAAACCAAATTATATTAAGTTTATGTGTGGCAAAAGCAATTGACAGCAACAGTTGCTGTCAAATATGCCTAATAGTATTCATGAAATTGTGGTTAAATGCTAACGAAATTGAATGAAATCATTTACACACGCGCTTGCCTGCATACATACTTGTACTTGTATTTATGTGAATTTGTGTGAGTAAACACATATGGGCATGTATATATTACCATATACTTGTAGTTTATTGGATACACGCATACGTCACCATATGTACTCAAATATTTATACTGTATATATGTAGGTATATTTATATATATATGTTTATATGCACGATTGGTTTTAATTAGCAAAAATGAGTTTCGAGTTTCGAGTGCATTAATTTCACCAAATCAGTGTTCGATGATTCATTAGGTAATGCATTGGCCCAAATAAATAGTATCTGACAACAGCTATGACACACAAATACCGAATCCGCACTAATTAAAACTTCGAATTACGAATAAGTATTAGGAAGTCATAAATGTGTATTTAAATTGAATAATTATAAATAAACAACCGCAAAAGTCATTAGCTTTAATTTTAACTACAAACAAAATAATTAAAAATATTAAATTATTTGAATTTTTTTAAACTTCCATTTAAGGTATTAAAAGTTCCAAAAAAAACTTCAACATTTTTAAAGCTTTTTAAATTTCGTTAGAAATACCTTTATCTAATACTATAAATTTCACAAAGTTGTGTTACAAAAGCCAAAAGAATATATTGTCAAAAAAGAACAGGCATAAATAGTCCGAAATCAGAGCGTGCAGAATCGAACTGGTATAAATTAAATAAACTGTAATATAAATTGAATAGCAAAAGGTTATACCACTGCTATAAGATATCTCCTTACTTTCTAGTGTTTAATTCTGAGGAGAATTTCTTTGTAGCTTTCACATACAATTTTTTCACAACAGACCAAAGCTGCAACTTAACGTGCGCAGAAGAGGTGAATCGAAGACGACTACGATCTATTTTACGCACTTTACTCTGAACTAAAGTATAATATTAGCATAATATTATATAATAGATAGGATTAGGCTACATACTCTCTTTATCTATCAACTAAAACACTTCCATTTATCAATAATTTTATTATTTTATTTTAAACAGTTTGAATTGACTTTAAATATATTTTTTTAGTTCTGCATTAATTAACACTTACAAAAATGTGGTTTTCCTAAATCAATCTACAAACATATAACTCTATGAAATATTTATATGAAAATCAGCACTTAAATAACAAATACGACAGTAAATAAAATCAATTTCGTTATTTAGAGCAGCTCTATTTTATTGCCACCATTACCTAGTCTACGATAAATACTTAATTTTTTCTTGTGAATATGTAAGCCGCTTTCGAAAGTGTCTGTCTGACATCCGTCACTGCATATTCAACAGATGGACGGACAAACATGTGTGACTATTGAACTGCCGGTAGCATTCCATTTCGTCAATGTTGCCGTCAAAAAAGAAAAACGTAAAACAACTTATTGGCTGCGGTCTGCCCATCTGACTGTAATCTGAGGAGAAAATAAAAAAGTTTATTAGCTGATTCGCTTCACGCAAAGGTGACGAAAGTCTGCAAGCAGCAATCAGACCAAATTGACATTCTTGATTCAATATAGCACGCACACATATATGACAGCAAATTGAGCGAATTCAGTCAACAGCGCACATAATTATTTATCAACACTTATGCTCTCATATGAGTTGGTGCACAAGAATGCACAGTTAATTGGACGTATTGCTAACGCATACCTCATTTTATAAGCGGCTTGTCAAAACGGATTGACTTACGAGTGTGTCTGATAGATGTGGTTTTTTAATTAATCTTGTAATCTTGTGGTACGAATACTACATTGATATATAACCCACAATCATATATCATATTTAATATTACGAGCAATTGAAGCTATTATTTCAAATCCAAATAAGAAAAGTTCTTAAACATAACTTTTGAAAACCTTCAAATTTTTATTAAGACAGGCACGGAAAACTACATCATGTATTGAGAAGGCACTATATTGATCATCATCTTCCTTAAACTTCTATTTATAAGCAATCGCATCAAATTTCCCTTAAATACTTTTAACCAGACCCACGTTAAGGCAAGCATATTAACCCTTTGGTAAATTTCATGTTTCTGTAGTAGATGTTTTGGCAGGTTTCAATCTTAATAATAATAAGGGAAGTGTATAGGTTATTACCCAATATTATTCATTTCCACACTGATCCTTAAAATAGAAATATGAAATGTTGTCAACTAGTTTTTTAGTTTACAGGATATATATATTAGTATACTATGCGACAAAACCAGAACTCCCTGTATTAAATTTGAGTTTGTGACTATATATATTTATTGAACCGGTTATACTAAGTTTGCCATGAAGTTTGTAACACCTAGAAGGTATTCGTAAATCTTATAAAATAGATATATATATTATATATGACCAGCATGACGACCTGAGTCGATTTAGCCATGTCCGTTTCCCTTTGGTTTTGAGATAGCGATCTGAGATTTTGCGCACAACCGACGATACCGAACCACTATAGCATATAGCTGTCATACAAACTGAACGATCAAAGTAATGTCTTTGTAAGGAAAACTTTTTTATTTGGAAGTATCTCTGCAGGAAATTTGGCACAGATTATTGTTGTATGTTGTATCCCTTGTACGAAAACTTTTATATTTATGAAGGGTATTATAGCTTAGCTGCGCCGAAGTTAACTTTTTTTCTTGTTTTGTAAACCAGAATTTGTATAATTCATATGATATGGGCTCTTGGCTTCTTGTTCTTATTTATTTCAGGCTTTCCATTCTTAGATTCTCATAGAACAAAGTTAAAAAACAAAATTGATTTTTCAGAAGCAGATATCTGTCTCGAACACTTAATTGAATGTGTAAATTAATTTCTTTTTCAGTATTTTTTTCTGACGAGTCCAATCATGAATTTTGTATATGAAATATATTGTTTCGATATTTCGATAGAAATATGTTCGGAAATATATTATATATAATATATACAACTCAGTATGCAAAATGTCATCGAATCTTAAGGATTTGGAGTTATTTTGGAAAAGTCGAAAGTTGAAAATTTTAAAAAAAAACTTAGTACTTGTTCAAAAATGCTTGAGTTCTTTTAAAGTAACCAATTACTTATATTTTTTGCAATTTTTATTAGCATCCTGTTGATATTTCTAAATCTTTCATCATTTTTTTGCAGGCGAATTGGTTCAAAGCATCACAATATTGCCGGTATCACGGCATGCACTTAGCAAGTATTGCATCACAAGAAGAGAATGACAGACTGGAAAAACACATACGCGACTTTGGTGAGTATCTATCAAGCCAAATTGGCCGGTAATTATGGCAAACCGGAAAAAAACTGTCTCAAGCAGCTGGTTAATATGCGAAATTAGCAAAGCGGCTTAATAATCACATGTGATCACTTATTCAATTGCATAGATAAATACTTATTTCATTACAAAAGTAGAGCAATAAGAGGCGCATTAGGTATTTAAGACACACAGTTGCACAAAAATACATATGTACGACTGCAATGAATTTTAAGTAAGTTGCTCAAAAGCTGCAAAAACTATCTTCTGTTAAATATGTTGGTAATGCAAAAGAAATACTAGTCTTGCAATTAATTGACGTGGTTAATAAATTGTAACAAAAATGCAACGCTTACCTTCACTGCGCTAGTTTGTTGTGATTTTTTTTTTTTTTTTTTGTTATGAAAGCATTTTGTGCGCTCCTAAGCGGCTGATATTACTCACTTAGACTTTCATGTTGCCAAGCTAATTTAGCGCATTTTTTCGATGATTTCTTGCAATTTTTTGCTGCCTGCGGCTATGTCGTGCTATGGCCGCATTATATTACATAGGTTTAAATGCCAGAAAGGTACCAAGTGAATGGCACTCTATGCCATGCAATGATATGCTATGCTTTATTGTGCCGACTGTGCGCCTTGATGGTGGCAATGGTCAATGCACCTCTTTAGCCTCACATAATACCCGGAAAACTGAAAACTAATATATTGTATTTTAATATTATTATTTCATTTTTTTCGCATTTTTACACGCCTTTTCGCTATATTTACATTTGCTTCTTGCAACGGGCCACAGTTTACATGAGGCATGCCTGTGTAAGTCAACGAGCAACACAATGCCTGCACCGGTGTTTTATGGATGTGCGAGTATATTTGCATGACTTATATGTGAACATACACACAACTGAGTATAATGCCAATATACAACAACAAATGCATCCGTATGTATATATATATTTAGAGTGAAAGCAACTACTTACTGCTCGCCCATTGTGTGTCACGCTCGCCGTTGACGTCAGTTTCGCTAGCATTACCAGCACACACGCTAAACACATAGACTCGTGCTAACCTAAATTATGCGGGACGCTAGGTTGACCGCAGCTGACCGTTGGCGCTGTTGCCGACGGCTGTGGTCACTCACATTTCGTGTGTCTACCCCTGATTTGCGGCATTTGACTCGCGGCTTTAAGCCTTGAGGTGCCTTGAGGTGCCTTTAAGTGCGCGTGCTCCACCAAAAGTTAGACTAGCTTCATGCTCGTACATGATTTAACATTTGCCACAATATACTCGCATTTCTTATATATTATGCTATGTATTTACACAAATACATTATTAATACACTCTTTTCTTTGCCATATGTCAACACACACATCACTTTGGACACTGGTTCTTTTGATTGCCGCGTCTCAGCAGGTTTGGGTCACGAACACTTCTGGACATCTGGCACTGACTTGGCCGACGAGGGCAGCTACTTTTGGATGGCCAATGGCCGGCCCATTACATTTACGAATTGGAATGCTGGTGAACCGAATAATTTCCGTTATGAGAATGGTGAAGAGGAGAATTGCATGGAGTTGTGGAATCGTGATGGCAAGGGTCTGAAGTGGAATGACTCGCCGTGTAGTTTTGAAACATATTTCGTGTGCGAAGTGCAGGCAATTTAATGAACGGAGGGCGTTGATTGACTGAGGCACAAACAAATAATGTAATAAATAAACAACAACAACAAAAACGACAATTGCAAAGTTGTCAAATGTTTGCAGTGGAGCTAAGCATAATAACTTAAGGAAATAGCGTACTTTTTCGCGTGTGGGGCACCGCAAATTCGTACGCATAATCACTATATTGCAAAATTTACATAATTTCATTTTACTTGATGATTGTGGTGATTAGAGACACTTGTGACACGCACAAGCGGCTTAAGTATGTACGCATAACAAAACGGCAGCGTAAAGCACAAACACAGGCATTAATTTTACTTTGTGCATATTTCAATAAGAAAATTATTTTTCAAATCTTGAAGTTCTCTTAATTTTTGAGAATTCTTCAGTTATAATTTGTTTTTGCGCTTAATTTGTGGCAATTAATTTATTTTTTGTTTATTTTTCCACTTGTAATTTGATTTTTAATTTAAAATTTTTTAAAACTTTTTTAAAATATCTAAGTTATTCAAATTAAACATACTTTTTTATTTTTTAATATATTTTTAACATTTTTTTTATTTAATTTTTATCACTTTGGTAATTTATAGCGTTTTATTTGAATTTGAGTTTTATTTATTTTTAAAATATTTTAAATTAAACATTTCTTTTAATATTTCTTTTTTAATATTTTTTGTATATCTAAATTTTTAATACTTGTAATTGTTTGCATGCATAATTTTGCTCAAACAACTTAATGCCGTGTCTTGCAATCAGTCGCATGCCACTTGCATGGCCAAAATAAATTTTAAATCAAATATTACGTATACGCAGTGGTGGCCGCGTCTGTTTACCCTTCGCTGATTGCCGTTAGTATATTTATAACGTCTGAGACACACAACAGGTATGTTGTATTTGTAACTGAGTTTAAGAATTCACGCATTTATGTAAGTGATAAAGCCATCGCTATCATTATCATGTTTAATAAATGCGTTGGCGCAGCAAAAGAAAAATTTATTACACATACGCCGTGTATACCCCACTCTCTTATTTCATTTCAATTCGTTTAAATGTATTAAAAAAAAGCGAAATAATTTAATTCTACTAAGAAACACTTAATTAATATACATTTACTGCCCTAGCATTATGTACATACATACACTATTGTATAAGTAATGTATAAATTATTATTGTTTAGTTAGTGTCATTTTAAATTATATTGTAATTAAGTGTATTGTATACCGTAATGTATCAAATTTCTATGCATAAAGACTTAAGTGCGAACGATACAATATAAAATTAAGTATCTATAGCAAAAAAATAAAAACAACAAAATAAATCACAACACAATGAAGATAAAATATATGTATATCTATATGTAAATGCGTTAATATAAGTCATAAGAGAATAAATGAAAAAAAAAAAAACAAATAAATGTAAATAAAAGCAAAGCAGTGAGTTTTTATGTATAACCACACTTTTCACTTTCAACTTTTCGCTTTCATTTACTCCAATTTCAATTTCAATACAATTTGACGAAATGAAACTTAATTTACATAAGCCGCACCACAATTTCTATTAGAAAAGTTGTGAGCAAACGGTAGAGAGGAAAAGGTATGAGAAAGCAACAACAAGAAAAAATGTTAACTTCGGATGCATCGAATCAATAATACCCTTCACAGTTGCGTTTCGGTGCTAAAAGGATATAAAAAGATCATTATGTTGATTTTGATCAATCAAATGGTCTGATCTGAATTTGTTTGGAGAGTGTAGCGTTGCCTTAGGGAATAGTTTATGTCAAATTTCTAGAAGACATCTTGTCAAATAATAAAGTTTTACATAAAAGAACTTGATTTCGATCAGTCATATTGTATGGCAGCTTTATGCTATAGTAATCCGATCTACTCAATTTGTTCAGAGACTGTACCGTTGTCTTGGATAATAAAATATATAGTATTTGGTGAAGATATCTTATCAAATAAAAAATTTCTTTTGGACTTGATTTTGATTGGTAATTGTGTATGGCTGCTATATGCTATAGCCGTTCGATTCAAATAATTTTTTTGAAGAAAGTAGCGTAGCCTTGGAAAATAATTCGTGTCAATTTTCGAGAATAAATTTGATTTCGATTGGTCAGTTTGTATGGAAGCTTTTTGCTATAGTGGTCTAGTATCAGCGGTTCCGATAAATGAGCAGCTTTTTGGGGAGAAGAGAACATGTGAAAAATTTCAGACCTATATCTTAAACACTAGTTCGCGTATATACAGACGGACAGACAGACAGGCAGACAGAGACACAACTAAATCGACTCAGCTCGTCACGCTTATCATTTGTAGCAACAACATATATTTTACTTCTGCTACCACACCGAAAACAAAGTACAACAAGAAGTGAAAATAACAACAACAACAACAACAAATATTTTACGCTTGTAGCAACGCTGACAGCAATTGAAAATGGTTAACATCACCAGATAAGGCAACAATCGCTGTTGGTGCAAGAAAAATCTATAGAACTCAAGTGAAAAGCAGCCTTAACCGCAAAAAGTTACAATTTGTAAAATATGCAAAAAATGCAACAACAAAAATTGGAAAATATTTGCATTTCAACCATATTAATGCAACTACGCTTACACTTTCACCGCCAGCTATATCACCAGTGCACAACTATTTGAGAACGCACTACACACATACTTGTACATACATACAGATATATAATATGTAAATGTCAACAATGTGAACTCCTGCAACACGGCATTCACCACCTATACTATTTCGCATATTTACTCTGCTTTTTTTCATTGTTACCTGTCCTCTCTGCGCCACTTTCACTTCCCAAGCATTCAATTATGCCCCCCACATTGACATGCACTCGAACCCTATCCAACTGCTTGCTTATAAAAGTGTGTATGTAACTACAAATAATGGCTTGTTGCTTGGCAGCTTTGCCGGTGCGCTCGCATACAAAAGTGCTTAAGGATTGAGCGGTAAACGACGAGGATAAACACTTTTTTAATCTCCCTACAACGTGCAACGTACATACAATACTTGTACATACAACAAATAAAGAAAACCTCAGAACAGCAGCCTGACCCATGACAACAACATCCATAACCATAACAACTAAACAAGTATTGTAACAACAATAAAGTTCGCCACAATGACCGTTTGCCTCCCGAGGGTCAGGCTATCACACCACCCACCACACTCTCGCTCTCTCACACACTCAACCAATGAATCTTAAATACAGCTTCCTGATTAAGTATATATGTCTATATAAAAGTAAATATATTTTAAATGTAGATATGTATGTGTGTGTATGTAAGTCGGGTCCCCGTAATTGCGCTACGCGTCCGGCGTCTCTCAAAAATTTGTCGAACGACAGTTGACGTCTCGAAAATGTTAATCTTCTGTAATGAATGCCATGCACATTTTGGCAAAGGATCAGCCCAAAAATACACTAACTCATATCGGCTACAATTGTAACATGCGCCAAGTAAAGGTCCGCATAGAAAATATTCACAAACACTCAGCTTAATATATACTTGTATATATATATATAAAAATCATATATTTCAACTAAGTATTTAGTAGCGATCCAAAGTGGAGCATTAAGAGTGCTGTCACCACTGCCGCTGCTTGATGCTTGCTGCATGCAACGCCAACGCCGACGCCGACGCCGTTAACAACGCAAAGCATGTGTTTGCACACATAAACTTGTCGACTTTTTGGGAAAGAGATTTTTAAAGCAACTGTGTTTTTGTTGTGATTTCTTACATTATTTATCTTTCTTTTATTCACCTTGTTGTTCGTTTTTGTTCTTGCGGGCGAAAGATGCACTGAAAGGATCTGACAGCGCAGCGTCAACTTGTATATACAAACATACATCATTACATACACACATACACATGTCAATATGTAACATCCGAAAGCATGAAAACATTGCATCAAATTAGTGAGCAACATTTAAATTGGAGAGTTCCTATGCACTGACATACACGGACTTATGTACACTCTCAATTCGAGACTTTTTGTTGCAATTCATACCGCGCATGTTCTATTTTAAAACAAAACAAGCATAAATGTTAACAGATGTAGCAAGATACGCTCTTTATTTGAAAAACAGTGGACTGTTCGATGTTATGATGAAACAAAAATATTGGGGGAAATTTTGAAAGTCCAAAAATGAAGTGTTAGTTTAAAAGCAACTATATCATAACTAGATCTGTAAACGTAACCGGCCAACGGCTTGCATCGAAAAAACGTTTTGCTAGCTTTTTATAGCCACGGAAGGATTTGAACAATCTTCAAGTCGAACTAAGTTTACTTAAAAAAAATGTTGAGTCGCAAACTTGGCCTTCATTTCGAGATTTTCGTTATTATCTGGGCCAACTATTGTAAATATAAATGGATGATGAAAATTTTTCATTCGTTTTCAAGAAAAAAATTAAACATGCTTGAAATAAACAGAGCTAAGTATAAATGATATATCATATTATATTATACAATCAAAAAGAAGGTGTTTAGATGTTTCTAATTCGTCTTCGCTCCAACTTCTACAACTAGCATCTGGTAAAAGTATCAACCTTATCGCGTGAACACTGATAGGGCAATGACCACTTATGATCCCTATAACTAGGGTAGGACTAACATTACCGAAACCGAAACGCTCACTAGACTACCTGCGTGCCACAAGCAAGAGCTAACGATAGCCCAACGCTAACCAAACTCCCGAGAAGTTCAGTAATCCAATAATAGAATGTATGAAGAGAGCGTAGCTCAAACCCGTTCTCATTCTACTGATAACGGTTCTTAAGCGTTTTACCATATGAAGTGTCTCCATGGCGCCATTGATAGTGAGGTGAGTCATTCCTTAACTAGCTTTGAACATACAATTTGGCAACTTGCTTAAGGCTGGTAGGTTATCACTTTTTTAAAGGAGGCTACACATCAAAGCAATAGCTCTGCTGCTATCTCGATGGCAGCAAGCTAGGCTTGAATATCGTTGTAGTCGTTAGGAAGCCTGAAATTATTGTTGGTATATAGTTGTCGACTCTGCCATCAATCTTCCCTCAAGCTTTGACCCGTCCGTAAAGAAGCTCACTCAATTAAAAATATTGTTAGTAATAATTCTCTTATTCATCGAAGTAAAATTATTTTGATTTTATAAACGCAAAATTATCATAATGCAAGCTTTGCGTGCTATAAGTGTAATTTAGTAAATCTTTAAGAGTCGAGTAACTATCAATTCCATCACAATAGCCAACGGTTTCTTCGAATAAAACGTGATGAGTTCACCGTTTGGGTAATTATGTCTCTAAGAAAAGATCTATATAAAAAAGCTAAATATACCCTGTTCAGAATATAAATATATTTTTATGAAGATAATATTCTTAACCCCCACTGTACGCACTTGGGTCTGTCGTATGCTTACATTCCTTAACCAAAGCAACTCTCTTACCCAAGAGAATATTCTATAAAGCACATGGCACAACAATGAGTAGACAGACTCGAACGCGTATTAGGCGTCAGCTGCTCGCTGTACTATTTGGCTGAGCGCGAAAACTCTCTGTGTACAACCGCAGCACGCATATTTCATATCAAATATGCACCGTCCCGCCCGCACAAAGAAGGTCGGAAGCACTATTTGTATTGTCAACAACAACCCCAGCAATGGGAAAACCGACGGTTTTTGGCTACCCAAACAGAAAAGCTGGCAGGCTGGGTGGCGCGTTGCCTGATTTACTCCTACGTGCAAATATCATATATATATTTATATATATACACTTTCTACACGCTATATGTATGTATGTCAACTTTCGGTCAGAGAATGGCTACAATCGAATTTTGTGTCGCTCATCGCATCAGTTTTTTGTAGACATTTTTACCTTACGGACGTGTTGGCGGATGCAGACAAATGGAGAACGGCATTAACGGAACACGACCGAACCTTTTCCGTTTACCTGATTTCTACAAGCATTAGAAAACTGATTTTCGCTCGCTTTAATTTCGTTTTCAACGCAAAAAGAGTAGTGCAATTTTAGTTTTATTTTCAATAAAAAATAATTTTCAAATTATATAAAAGCCAGCGAATTTTGAAAGAAATGGTGAAAGAGTGAATATTCGCTTGAAGGTAAATGTGTGAAAGTGTAGATATGTTAATATGTTCTTATGTGCATATGAGTTTGTGCAAAAAGTGAGTGTCGCAATGAAAGCAAGTAAGCAGAGCTTGGTTAAAGAGCAGTAAAATCGAAAGCGATAGTCCACAGTGGAAATTGGGACGACGAAGACAGTAACGGAAGGAAATTCGCTTTCTGTGTATGTGTACAAAAATAACAACAAAAAGAATAAGAAGACCTACCTACGCACCGTGACTGCTGCCAGAGCCTAATTAGTGCATTGGGCGGATACTTGGTGCAGGCAAAAGTCATATCAACACCAACCACAACAACAATATGAAGCTTTAACGAAGTCATTCAGAAAGTGCGTGCGCATATGCGTTCGCGTGTGTGTGTGCGCTCATGTAAGTGCCAAATAACAAATGCGTTTGCCAAGTGGGCGCAAAGTGCGTGTTGCAAGTACGTACAATAAAAATTTAAATCGATTTACTTCATTGCGGTGATAAATTTGTAAATTCAAGCAGGAAATTTGAAGCGTTTGCGCATTTATTACACGCATTAGAGCATAAATTGTGGTAATTAGTGATTTCAAAGTTGTTGAAAGCTCAGAAAATATCAAATGTATCAAATTTGTATTGCATGTCAATAAAATTTATTGAAATGTGCTTGTGTTAAACGGTAAAAGTGCTAAAAAAGGTTTTTAAGTTGTAACAAAATAAAATAATGCAAACAAATATATATGCATATGTATGTACAATACAATACATATAAATACGCATATATGTATTTAGAACAATTATATTTTGAAGCTATGTATATACGAGTACTCTGCATAATTACAAAATATTCTCTTTGGAGAAAAGGACGTGTGCAAAATTTCAGATCGATATCTCAAACAATGAAGGATTAGTTCGCGTATATGCAAATGGACAGACAGACATGGCTAAATCGACTCAGCTAGTCATGCTGATCATTTATATGTAGACATATATTTATAGGTTCGACGTTTAATTCTGAGTGTTACAAGAATGACGTGGTTCAAGGCAAACTTATTACACCCTATTCAGGTTATAAAAACAGTTAGAATAAAGCCTTAACATGTAAGATAAGCAAGGCGTGGTAGCGTAAGATGAACTCTCTTATGTGACGTGTAGACTCCTAATCGTATTATGTTTTAACACTTAATATTTTCGTTCTGTTAAAGATCTCTTGTTATGAATCTCTTGAAAGAAACGTCGGAGACCCTATAAAATATATGTATATATAATATATAAATTATCAGCATAACGAGCTGAGTCGATTTTGCCATGTTCGTCTGTCTGTCCGTTTGTCTGTCTGTATATACGCGAGCTATACCATAAATTTTTAAGATATCGATATAATAGTTTCCACACTTCCTGTTTTACCAAGAAGTGGTTCATTTGCCGGAACCCCTGATATCAAACCGGTATATGATAACGCTGCCATACAAACCGAATGATCAAGGTCAAGTCCTTATTTGGAAAACTTTTTTATTTGACAATATGCTATGGTTGTTTATATCAAACACTGTGGCTAAAAATAATTATCAAAACGTTTTCCGTAGGATGCAAAGCGTTTGCCGGTCAAGTTTTCCGATTTAGTTACATACATAGTTATTTTAAGAAACGAACATCTGAGTATATAATACATGAAGAATAGCTTCAGTGCAGCCGAAAGTAACGTTTTTTATTGTTTTAAGCATATTTTTTTTCTCAAATAGCCAAAAGTGGTAGTATCTTAGTGTCAAAATATTCATTCGCCGTTCGGTATGGACTAAATACATGTTGGTACTTTCATTCAAAAGACAGCGTCTAGCCAACACAACAAATGCCGGAGAACGTAAAAGTAAATTTCGATCCCAAGAAACATAAAGCAAGAAAAAGTGTTGCCTCATAAAAGAAGCTTCTTAGCAGATATTGCCAAATAACACATATTTCTAGATATCCACCAACTTTTAAGGCGCTTTCACTTCAAATATTTATTTCAATAACTTTTTTATTGGACATGTACGAACGGATTAAAGGATTTTAAATATATTTCTATAAAAAATAAAGGAAAAAAGAGAAAACATTTTTAATAAAATTTTCGACCGAGATTAAAATGAAAAAGAAAATTAATGCTTTTCCATATAAACATATTCATTTGTGTAAACAGTTTAGACATTCAATATACTTATTCAGATATTTTTTGGGAATCATTACTAAAGGTATTTTTTATCCTTTTATACCATAATAAATGAAACTGCGTAGCTATAGCTTCAACCGCACATAATTTTTTTTTTTTGCAAGAAATTAAAGATCACACTCTGTTTTGTTTTCTCAGTGAAAAGTAAATATTTTTGCGTGCTTTAAGTCAGCCATTTCAGCATCATTGTCACGTAGCTATTCCCTGGGCTGTGTTAGCCACCTAATAAAATAATTTAATAACAATTTTCACCTTGAAATTTCACAGTGGCAGCATTAGCGAGCGAATTTACATCAAGTTTAATAGGGCACGAGATGCCTTCTTTAATTAAAGTACATTTAAGTGCTTGAGGAAAATGTGCTGAAGCACCTATAATATACATATATACATGTAGATACATATATATTTCGCAGTCTCTTTTTCGACGAATTTAACGTTTTGGCAATGACCAGCACAACGATGGCCATCGCCCTACGCAAAAATGAAAACAAAATGCACATGTATATACATGCACATATATAGATACATATGTATGGGTGTATGACTAGAGCTAGCAGAATTTTGTATATAAATAATTTTGAGAACGTCAAACATAAAAATCTTCTATAAATATGTATTTAAGTGTGAAAATGTATATGTATGTGTGTGTATGCTATGCGCATAGAATGAACACTCCTTGGGCCAGAATGCGTGTCAGGGTTTTCGGTGGCCCTAAGTATGCAAAAATAAATCAAATAAATTTGAAGTGCAAAATAAAATTAAAGAGCATACAATTTTAATTATGAAACACAGAAAGCAGAGCATAAAAAAGATATAAAAAATATATGTATAAACATATATATGCAAATAAAATTTGCAAAAAAAAAATTTGTGAAAATGCTTTTAAAACACAACATGTCTGCTGCCCTTAGAGAGCGCGTAAAAGCATTTCTTCTACGTTATCCGCATAAAGGATATACACATTCATATATGCATATATATATAAATGTATATATATATACTTATAGTTTTAGTAGCTTTAAAATGCTTGCTTTTATGCTAATATTTTTTATTGCTCCGCGTCGACAGACACGAATGGCTTGTATTATATTATAGAATATATTAACATTGCCGGGTGCGTATGCGACAAGTGAGAGCATCGCGTTTAAGTGTTTGCTTGTTGGTCGGTTGGAAAGTACTAGACCGGGCCAGTATATAAAAGGCTTTATAAAGTATTTCCTTCTATGATTAGATCCCTGTAAGAAAATGCATTGCTTCGGTATTAGTTTGGCTCCTTATGATATAATTACGCCATATTTCATGTTATATAAACATAAACATTTGTGAACTTTCACAATTATAAACTGTTTGAGTGTTAGACCTGTTTAGACATAACCTAAATTCGGAACAATTTTGACTAGAACAAGTAAACCCGTTAAATTCGATTGCACCGAATCTATAAAACCCTTCACAAATTCAGTTTCTATGCTATAGCGGTTCGATATGAACAATTTCTTCGGACTTGGTACCGTTGTCTTGCAATAATCCAGGCCAAATTTCGTAAGCATATCTTGTCAAATAAAAATGGTTTTCTTGCAAGGACATGATGTTAATCGCTCAGTTTGTATGGCAACTATATGCTATATTGGTCCGATATCGGCGATTCCGACACATGAGCAGCTTCTTGGGAGAAAAGAACGTGCGTAAAAATCCAGATCGATGTCTCAAAGACTGAATGACTAGTTCACGTATATGCAGACAAGCGGACGAACAGATATACATGGTTAAATCCACTCAGCTCATCTTGCTGATAATATATATATATAATATATGTTCCTGAACATGATATATTAAGTTTGCTATGAAATAAAAATATATATATAAATATATATTATAGGGTCTCCAACGTCTTTTTCTTCGTAGCAAACTTAATATATCATGTTCAGGAATATCAAAAATTCGATACATGAAAATCGTCTTGACTGTTACTGGTTTCACCAAAACGTAACGCTATGACATATTATGAATCAAAATATTCAGTTTCTGCAACAAAACCTCCTAGATATCTGATTTCCAAAGGAGGCGATATAGATAGGCCCTCCGATATCGATGTTTATCTCCCTATGAATGTGTTTTGCAAATTTATTTGAAAAAATAAGTTGTACGACATTAATCCTTGGACTATTCATCAGCTCCAGACAAATGCTCACACCAATATTACACCTAATACACACGCAAAAATAATGCCAGTCAAAGTTAGCAAACTAACATAAAAGATGACGCTCACTGTATAGCCCAGAAAGTTTCCATAGTCGCCTCTCAATTGTTTTCTCTTTCTCACAATAATACAAATATTTTGCGGTCAATATTTCTGTCAGTTTATATAAGGAATTATTTTTCACTTTTTAGTTTGAAGTGGTTTAAAACTGTGTTTTTTAGTGATTTAAAACTATACTTATTTCTGGTTTGAAAATAGTAAAAATAAAGTTTCGTTGGTTAACGAAGAGATATTGGGAGCGATTATCAAAATGGGTATATTTCAAGATCTCATTCACAATAGAGCTAGCCTCACAGTCACACAGTTCAGCGTTGAAAGCCCTTACTTCTTAAACTAAGCTCCTTTAAATCAGAAATAATAGCTGAGTTCATGTTGTTGTTTAATATATATAATATATATATTTTTGAGAATATATATAATATATATATTCTCTTGCAAATCAAAATCGAGTATTTTGAACACGAGCCCAAAAATGTTTTGAAATGAAAATAAAATATTAAAGTGTTTATAATTACTTCAACGGGTGTGGTACGTTGAAGTAATTATAAACACTTTAATATTTTATTTTCATTTCAAAACATTTTTGGGCTTATATACATTAAACTAACTTTCGACAAAATTACCCAAGCGCTGAACAAAAATGTTTTCCTGCAGGGACTGTACTTCCCGCTTCTCACACCCACCCTTCTATGACTACAAATTGCTTGTTTAAGGGTTACGTTGACGACAAGCATGCG